AGGAGGATTGGGAGAGGGGGGGAAGGGGGTGGAGGGTAAAAAATACGGCCATGTTTTTAAAGTAGCAAATTGGGAAGTGAAAAAAGGGAAGAACGAGCTGCAATATAGCGCATATTTCACCCATTTCCAGGAATGTCTGCAAGAAAGAAATCGCGGGGAATTTATCAACCTGCTAATGCATAAATTTAGCGCCCCTCGTTTGATCTCTGATCCTTCGTTACTGTTTTTTCTTGCCTTTTTTCACTTCACATGTCATTTCGAAATAGATTACGTGTTTTTCCTTCTGCAAAAATTTCGGATTCAGATTCTAAAAGTGAAAATTTGCAGAATCGGCGAGCTGAGGTGCTTGGGCATTATGCGCAATTCAAGGAGTTCGCACGAATCAAACGTGATCGCCTGGAAGAGGCACGACAGTTCCAGTACTTCAAACGAGATGCCGATGAACTGGAGATCTGGATACTGGAGAAGTTGCAGACTGCATCGGAAGAGTCGTTTCGAGATCCCACTAATCTCCAGGTCTTCATGCTTTGCACTTCAAAGACTCTACGCTAAAGTTCACTCAGTAGGAGAGCCCTAAAGTATTGAGGGGGATGAGGAGATGTGAAATGGAATAACCGAAAAATTCGTCTTTTTTTGTGACTTACCAATAAATCAGTTATTTTTATTCAGTATCTATAAATCAGATTTTTGCACTTTTATGTCAAAAAATGACGAATTTTCAATTCATACTTTGAGAAAAGTAATTTTTTCATCGCTTACAACCTTGTGCTTCCCGCCTTCACACCACTTAGAAGTGCTGCTTTCCTTTGATGCCACAGGCAACGATTTCATGCTTCCCAAATGAGGTATTTTAGGCGAAAATCCAGAAGCATGAAGCATTCGAGGCGGAAGTGCATGCCCATTCGAACGCGATTGCTCAGCTTGACAAGACGGGCAATGATATGATACAACATCAGCATTTCGCATCCGACATCATCAAGGTGGACCATTCGAGAATTTATTTAGTACAGGAGACAGAGTTTTATCAGTATTCAGAATAATATTATTTATCTTTCAATTTGCACGAATGTTTAAAGTGATTAGCTAAAAAATCTCAGAAATTGGTGACCGAAAAAAATCGTCATATGGGACGTGTTTTGCAGTTGGTCACCTTCACCCATCCTTCCCTTCCTTCATCTTCCTTCGATAATCATCATGTTCCCTTTCAATGTGGGAGAATGGGCCACTGTACTGATGATTCCCACTCCATTCCGCACCGATTCTACCGTCTGTGTTTACAGTTCAGGGATGAAACAAAGACAGGCTATCAAGTCCCTGCCCATACAGGCATGCTTATTTGAGAGATTTAAATGGCACTTCCAGCTTTTCATTAGTTGCCAAAATTTGATGGGGAACCAACAGCGCCAAACAAACTGCATACGTTAACACATAGACGATTTCAAGCCCCCGTTCTATTCCGATCTCCTTGCCATGAATATTCATTGTTTGTATCTTTAAAATTTCTACGACATTTGGTACAAGAAGTATTGTTTTCTTGAGAATTCTTCTTTTCAAGGTAACGAGAATTTGTTAATTTATATATATATGTGTGTTCCAGAAACGACTAAATGAGCTGCATTCGCTTTGGGATCAGTTGTTCTTCAAGCTCAAAGACAAGGGCATCAAGCTGCAGCAGGCACTTAAGCTACTCCAGTTCATCAGACAATGCGATGAAGTGTTGTACTGGATTCGCGATAAAGAAGCGTTTGTTACAGCTGAAGATTTTGGCCAGGATTTGGAACATGTTGAGGTCTGTATATTAAAAAAAAAAGAAAATTTAACTTTGACATTTCTCACATATTTGTTTTTGGTATTTTTTTTTCTTATAGTTGTACGTTTTTATTATTTGAATCAAATTCCTCAAAAT